GCTGAGTTATGCACCGCAACACTGGTCCTTCACCGGGTATTATGGTATGGGGCGGTATTGGATATCACTCACGCACTCCTCTAGTGCGCATGCCGGTACTTTTAAACAGCCAGCGCTGAGGTGTTGGAACCAGTTGTCCTTCCTTAACTTCAGGGCTTGGCCACAGCCATATTTCAACAGGATAATGTGTGACTACAGGTGACACGCATTGCCCAAATGTTCTTCGTCAATCATTAGATTGAATTGCTTCCCTGGCCGGCTCGCTATTCGGATCTTTCGCCGATAGAAAACATGTGGTCCATGGTTGCTCAATGATTGACCCAGATTTAACCCCCTGTTGCCACACCAGATCAACTTTGGCAACGTGTGGAAGCTGCTTGGTTGCTGGACCCCAAAATACTCCAAAGTCTCTTTGAATCAATGTCAAGGCGTGTGGCATGGATCTCCAACAAAGGCGGCTACTCTGGCTACTGATTCTGGCAGGAACCACACTTCACAGAAGTCTATAAATTTAATCATTTGATACTTGGTCAACATGTTATCTACAAAATAAATTTTGTTGTGCTATCTCTTGTCTTTCTTGGTGTTGCATTTACGGTGGCCTTACTGTTTTTTATTGAAAAAAGATTTGTTAAAGTTTGGATAATTACGGTGGCCAGCAGTGTAGATAGGGGGTTTTGTACAATGTATCTCATTGTGTAAAATTATGATCTTAAGTAGATTTCTTTAAACTATTGTTCGGGGTCTGGTAGTTGGGCTTTCAGGTTTACGAGGTCGTGGTCGAAGTCAATTATGGTCGGATGGTCTCTAGATTTATCGATAATTTGTATTATACTGTTGAACAATTTCATCGATTAAAAAAAAACGCCAAAAAATTTCGCGATATTCAGCCAAGAATAAAAATCCGTTCTCTTGCGTGTTCAAGCACAAACATCTTGTTAGTGCTTTTTCGAAGACAACTTTTTTATTGACACTACCATACTTGCACATATTAAAGCAATATGCTTGACATTACTTGCTCCAGAGTAATAAATACTGTTTATAATTTGTAATTTCATTCTTCTACTGAGTCTTTGGGGGGAAAATATTACAATTTATAATTTATTTTGTACGGAAGAGAACATGGAAGAATATTTCGGACTAATGAGTAAGTTCTCGAAAGACTATATAGTTTTAAAAATGGCAAAATCAGGAACCTCCTGATCAGAAAGACATTATTTATATATATAGATTCATACTTTTGTGATCATTTATTGCGTAGTCTTTATGAAGGAGGTACATGTGGTGCGATTTTTAATTTTTTAGACGCTTGCTGATTTGGATGAATTGGTCGAAGGTATGATTAACAAGTCGCAACTCACACACACACGCACGCAATGCACTGGAGCTGAAGAATATTAAATTTTTCCACGTTTAAAAGTCTTTATGTTAGAATGTTGTGAAAATGGGGAGATGGGAGGTTGTTCCAGATATATTCTTCGGGACCGCGAAATTACAAAATGGCCACTAGCAGTTGAAGAGTGCGACGTTAATATTCACTTATTCATGTGAAATTACGAAATACGTTACCAGTAATTCTCAATTTTTTTTATAAATACGACTATGATAAGCAGTTATTCAATCTAACATTTTAAGTTATTTTCTAAAATCTCTTTAGTTTCCCCTGTTCAGTATATCTATCATACTAGTGAATACTTTTTTCATTTTAGAATGTATATGTTTTAATATTTATTTTGTTTACTTTACATTATATATATATATATATATATATAATAAAAATATATATATATATATATATATATATATATACTTCCCAAAGTTAAGCACGGAGAGAAAAATGAAAATTTCCGGAAGCCAATCAGAATTAAAAAGGATGCAATTCGCTGCAGATGTAGATGGACGCATGCAAATATGTTCGGTTACAGCCAATCGTGCTTTCATTGCAAGAGATATGCAAAAAGGGCAGACTTATAAGAGAAGCCAGCTTTATGAAGAGTTACAGAAGTTGATTTGTAAGTGCTGATAGAAGGTGTTTAAAACTTTCGTACAATTTTTTTTCAAGACATGCGTGTTTCTATGACTTCCAGAAAACGAATGGAAGGTTCTGAGCGCTGGCGTGCTGTGGCGCGCATTGAAGCAGGACAGTCGATCACAGATGTTGCTCTTTTCTTCGGCGTTCATCATTCTGTAATTTCACGTTTATGGAAACAATTCCAAACCACACAGAAAGTTGTCCGAAGCCCCGCAGGTGGTCGCCCAAGGGTTACAACCCCCGCGGAAGATCGATATATTTCTAATGTAGCCAAGCGGAATCGCAGAGAGACCTCCATTCGTGTGTCATCTATGGTTACAGCGTCCATTGGTAAGGCTATATCAGGAGCTACTGTACGCCGAAAGTTACATATGAATGGACTGTATGCCTAGGTACCTCGAGTTTGTGTTCCTTTATCCGTCCAGTCAAGAGGGGAACGATTAAATTGGTGCCGGGAATATGGCAATTGGACTGTGTCTGACTGGGGCAATGACATGTTTACTCATGAGCCAGATGATAAGCGTATGCGGATATGGAGTACACAAGGAACACGCAATCAGCCCCAAAATATCACCGAACATCACGCATTCCGAGGCGAAAGGATCATGGTGTGGGCAGGGATTTCATTAGGATACCGCACAGACCTACACATCTTTAAACGGGGTTCTGTGACGGCTGTCCGTCACAGTAGTGATGAAGTCCTAGAACCTAGATGAAGTCCTAGAACCCATTGTGAGATTTTACGCGACAGCAGTTGGCCCCACTTTTTTAATGGACGATAACGCATGTCCCCATAGAGCTGACATCATCGATGACTACCTGGAAATTGAAGGGATTGCGTATGGCGTGGCCAGCATATTCGCCCGACCTTAATCTCATTGAAAATCTTCGGGATGCTCTCGGCCGTGTTGTATCTTCACGTTTCCCACCTCCAGCCACTCTTATTGAGCTGAAACTGCTCTACAAGAAGAATGGCGATTGCTTAATTGTGCAGTGGTTGACCGCCTAATTGAAAGCAGGGTCAGAAGGTGTTAACTTTGCATACAGATGAGGATCACATACCCTATTAATGTCCTTTTTTTCATTTTATGCTGTTTATTTTCACTTTATATATAATTCTGTTTAAGTCTCCAGTTTGACATTATCTGATTACTTACAAAAATTTAATATTGTTTTCATTTTTGTATATAATTATTGACTTTATTTTTATGTATAAATATATATGCTACTTTACGGCCAAATTTTGTGTCGATCAAAACAGTATTTGTTGATTTTTTTGCATTTGTACATGTTCGTGCTTAAATTTTGTGAGTGTATATATATATATATATATATATATATATATAAACATTAAAAATTTTTACTTATCACAGATATGATCTTTGGAAATGTCTATTATTTGTGTCGAAGAAAATGTTTTCAAAGCAACTATATGTAATTGGTAATTATATTTTGAATTTATTCTGGGTTTTTTTCACCAACGATTACGTTTCTAAAATATATTAAAGGCATTCTGTGTGTGTGTACTATCTCGATGGGAAAATCTGTAAATAGCTATGTCCAAAAGTAACAAAATAATATTGTAAGCATCAATTTTAGTGACCGCGGTAGCCTAGTGGTCAAGATATCGGATCGTGGCTAGTATGTCATGAGTTTAAGCCCAGCACAACTAAAAACCCGCCGTGTAGGGGTGCGATGCATGTTAAATCAGTCGAGAGCTCAAACGTCCTCCTGTTGGTGTAGTGTGTTAATTAAGAGAGAGTGGTGCCAGGTCAGATGTCGTACTCGTCCTTTGACCATGGCTTAAATTTTACGAGCTCCGTATCCAAAAGACTTCGTGTAGCTAAACAGTGCGACGTTAATATTCTCTCACTAGTAAAGAACTCAATTGAAATCTGTGTTTGTAACTTGAACATCACTCTGAAACAAATAAAGAATCAGAGGACTTTCGGATTTGAAGCATGCAAAAGTTAGTCCACACATGTGGAATTCTTTTTTGTTTTAGAATGACAGATTAGCATTTTAATGAGTAAGGAGCTTGCATCTAATTTGTGGTTGTATTGAAATTTTAGACCCCAAAACAGAAATCAAAGTGCCCAGGGTAGCCTATCGGTTATGGTCATCGTCATGGATTCGTGACTCGCGTGTCATGAGTTCAAGCCCTAAAGCCACTTAAGTCCCAACTTATAGAAGGCCTGATACATGTTAATTCAGTCGAGATTGAAAGTCCTCCCTTGTCGTGTGGTGTTGAAGTTTGGACAGAGGAGTGCAGCTTAGGTGTCATCCATGTCACATCAGAATGTAATTTAAAATAATAACATCCATTGTTAATAGCACTTTTTTTAGTGGTTGTGGTGCGTTTCATCCAGGAATATAAACGAAATACGAGAGATAGATAGAAAGACAAATACAATAAGCTTACTAAAGAATGGGGCAAAGGGTAGCCTAGTAGTTAGAGCATCGGACGCCAGACCCGAAGGCCTGGGTTCGATGCCCGATGCCACCAAACACTCGCCGTGTACAAACGGAAAACGGGCTTGTTAAATCTGTGGATCTGAATGGTGTCGGCATATGTCGTGAGCAAAACCGAGCTTTCACCTTCATGGGCTCAAAGCTTTGTCTAATGACAGACGTATCTCTAGCCCGTTGCCATGATGAATTTCGTGGGCCTAGATCTGACTACGTCAGACGGATGTCAAACAACAACACAACAGAATATAGACATTATTACAAACGACGATCCCATTATAGAACAGAAGGGTGGCGCTGCTTTCCATTTGAGAGAGAAATCCATTTCAAGCGAAAGTCGAAATTCATTTCAAAAGGCCAATGGACGTTCTCATTGATCCCTTTTTCCAATTACAAGTTCAAGTACATTTTCTTAAAATTTATAGTGGATGACATTTGAAGTTAACCAAACCAAAATAATAGTCCAACATTATATACAGAAGGGAAAATTGCATGTTGTATCCCTGTAGCGCAATGGATTGCGCGTTAAACTTCTAATCAAAGGTCGTGGGTTCGAATCCCAAGTGGGATGGCCTAACTTCTAAAAGTGTTATTCCATTTTTACTATAAAATTTTATTAGAATAATTAAATTTATATAATTAATGAATAAGTAGTAACAAAAACAAAACAAAAAATAATCCATTACCATATATAGAAAGGGAAATAGAAAACTGCAAGCAAAATCACTCTCTATTTTGTCAATTAATATTGTGATTCGGTCAAATGTGTATTTACATATCTATATTATATATATATATATATATATAACTGAAACTATTTCAAAAAAAGTAACTAAAATAAAAATTTTCTATCTTGACCTCAGTAGGAATTGAGTTTTTTTTTGTATTACTTGATATTTAATAAAATAAAAGAGGGATTTTAAAATAAATTGCATGTGTTAGGTTCTTTAGAAATGGTCAATTGGAACTGCAATTTTGAACCATTAACAAGTGACGAGGATGACACATAAGGTGGCACCTATCTCCTCAGTACCACACCACACCAACGGGAGGATGCTTGAGATCTCGACAGATTTAACGGGCATTACGCCCCTACACGGTTAATCTTCAGTGTTGTACTAGGCTCGAACTCATGACAAGTCAGCCACTAGTCCGATACCTTAATCATTTGGCTACTGCGACCACATAAGGGATTTAGAGAGCTATTGTCAAAGCTATCCCATAATATTAAAAAAGGTTTAGTGACGAGAATGGGACCTTAGAGCTGCCACCTCATTCACCGAACCTCCACTCCGTGGTGAGATCTTTGAGCCACGTTGCATTTAAAGTGATTCAGACATTCTACACCAGAGTTGGGCAGACTTTTCCAGGGTGTGGGCTGTTTCTAATTTTTTCAAGGAGCTGCGGTCCACCCAATGTCAGTTGTGCACACTAGGGCGGGGGAGGGTCTACGGGTCCGGACTCTCCCTCATAACCCTTCATTTTTTTCCGATTCATTATAGGCCCATATAAATAGTATATAAAATGTAGTAAGTAATTGATATTAGTAATTTTTTTTTATTTATAATTGTTAATTATTTATTCAGTAATTTATTTTTCGCTGTTTTTTTTTCTTCTTGACAATCGACAAAATCAAAAAATATGTTTGGCTGCGTTTTGGGATATGAAGATGGATATGAGAATGGTAGACCTTCAAAAACCCTCGACCCCCTTCCCTTTAAAAATTTCTGTGTACGTTAGTGCCCAATGTCGTAGATGTGGAGAGGTAAGGAAAAGGTTATTATTATAATATTAAGTACGGAATATAAGTACTTACCCACAGAACTAAAATAAAAAAGCCCTTTTTAAACCACGTTTAAAGCAAAACGCAAGATACAAACCTAATAATAATAGCCCCAGATATAATTATATCAAATGATACATTTATTATGAACAAAATACATTAAAAAATAAAACATTTTTATCTAAAGTTAGTTTTTGCTGTTATAGTCAGTAGAAGGCTTAGTCTGTGCGTACTGTCAGCCAATCTTGAATTTTCCATATATAATTACTAACTGGTAAAAGTTTTAGGCGCGGTCACCCCAAAATGTCTTGGCGGTGCACCGGTCGATCGCGATCGACGTAATGCCCACCCCGGTTCTACACTATGGGTCTTCATTCGTACTAGGCCTCGAGCTCATAACACGCCAGATTCGAAATCTCGATTAAGACCATTTGCCTATGGAATCAATATATTATAAGAAAAAAATAGTTACAGAATTATTTTCAAATATATGTGAAAGATTCAAACCTTTAAAAGTTAGTTCAAATAATACAGAATAAAAAACAAATTTTTTTTCTACTTCCATAATTTCTTTATTTATTCCGACTAGGTAACTCAAAGTCTAAAGTATTTGTAGAGTAAAGAATAATATATATAGATTTGTATGTAGAATTCTAGAAAAAGAACAAAATATATAAGAGTATTGTTAACTAGTTATAAGAAAGTAGTATGACAAATCGATGATCTGTAATTTCCTAAGTGCTTATGCGAATTTTTGTTTTTACTCTTCTCAAGATGTTTAACAAAAATCATCCATATTACGCGAGACTTATTTTATACGCAGGGAATATATAATATAATTTGAGTATCACAATTTGGAGAATGTGAAGGATTCCTTATTTAGCTCATTATTTATGATGGTTGATGTTCTCTTTGAATGGAATTGAAGAGGCAGTCCTGTGATTATTTAAATCTGTTTTATTCCACATCTTGAAACACATAAGCATGTTAAACTTAGAGCATGGAATGAGCGACACAATACATAACAAAGAAAACGAATGCACAATGAGCAGCAGCCGGCTACATGTTGAAGACAGACAAAAAAACAGAAAGGGAAAGAGCGCGGTTTTCAAAATCTCAGTTTTTTTAGGCACCTTAAATCGCTCGATCTGAGTCGGTGGATAGATGTAGTTCAAAATACTCTCGTTAGGTGGCTGGATAACTTATTACTAAAGCGTGGGTCCTGAAGGGATGGACCATTTGTAATTGAAAGTTATTAAATAATAAATTAATGAGGATTTTACATATATATATATCGATTTAACTATTAAAATTAAAATATATCTTTTTAAAGTAAAACTTCAAAATATTCCTTAACGTCATGGCATGGTTTTCTCAAAAAGTTTGATTCTTGCATTTTTTACTATAACTAATACATTCGTAGAATCGATGATTTGAGACGTAAAGTGAATTGAATACTTACATCTTTATATATACGTTCTACTTATACCTTTTTTTAACATCCAATGAAAATATTGTATTCCACCTGACATCTGAGTTTAGCTGGATTTCTAAAATACCATGTATTAATGAATAGTGTAAGGTGGCGAGTCATGTTTAAATAGGCTTGACAAATCTTCATTTTTCAATTTTAAATCTTTTGAAAACTGTGGAACTAAAACTCTACGTTTACACCTAGTTGTAATGAATCTAGTTTAGAAAAGTACAAAGAACGATTTACGAGAAAAATCAAGATATTTTTTGCCATTAAAACACTTGGGAGAAGCGCTGTATATAAAGAACTGTGGAATTCTCTACATAGTGTAAGAAATACTGTTAGTAGTATCCAAAAGTGAAGACGGCTAACATTCATCAATCACAAGATCAAATTCTGCTTCGAAAATTACATACACATATACGGTATTTCATCGCTTTCACTGTTACTGTTTTTAATCATGTCTAAAAAATTGGACAAAACTGAAGTTTCAGACGAAATTCGGCAACATCAACCTAGTCGTTTTGAAATTTCATCTAAGCCATACTTCAGATTTTCACCAAGCCTCGACACTGAAGAAATTGAAATTCTTGATTCAACAAATAACCCCAGATTATCGGATAAAAACAATCCACAGAAAGAAGATATTTTTGAAAAGTCGGAAAAGAGAAATGAAACATTTGTTGATGGATCTGAAGAAAATAAAATTGAATTTGACTGTAAAAAATGTGGTGAAGAATTTAAGGATATTGAGGATGTGATGGCTCATGATTGCCCCCATAAAGTAACCACAGAATCTCCATTAGACATAAAATCCATTTTTGATTTGGTAAAGCAAAAGCAATTGCGTGAACGGGAAGCAGAAAATTCTCCTGATGAAAACATTAAAAGTGATTCTTCAAGAAGTCGAACTAGTTCTGTTGCATTACATAAAGTGCGAGCATCTGGGAGATCATACTCTGGAAGCATAACACCATGTTCAGAAAGAAAAATTCCCAAGATAGTTTATAATAGATATCCTATATACGTGACACCTCCACGATCTATTCCATCTTCCCAAGCAATTAAAGACTATTCTTCAAATGCAAGGGATTCAGCCACCAAAAATATCTTTCAATCACGTAAAACATCTTGCAGTGCAACCGAAAGTAGACCCCTTCAAGCTGAATGTATAAAAACAGTTTCTGAGCAATCGCTGACACTTGTGACACCTAAAGAACGATCATCTTCACCTCCAGATTTATTTAGAGGCAAACCTTCAAGAATTCTATCTAGATTAGACGCATCATATAACTTGCAATCACCCAGAGGATCTTGCACTGCAATTACAAGGAGACCTCCTGAAATCGAAGTGGTCGGGAGAGTTTATACTAAATATCCCGCATTAGGGACACCTCCACGATCCATTTCACTTTCCCATACCCAAAAGTATGATTCATCAGGAAGTGTAATGGATCCGGTGCCCATGAATCTCTTTCAATCGCATCAGATGCATAACACTGAAATGATTTCTGATCCCTCGGGAAGTGTAAGGATTCCAACTGTCATAACTCTTGACCAATCACCTCGGATATTCAGCAGTGAAATTTCCACTGATTGCTCAGGAAGGAAAGTGATTCCAGCAGCTGTAAATCTTGTTCAATCTCCTGAGATATACGACACTGAAACCATCACTGATTCCTCAGCGAATAGGATGATTCCAGGGGACCGTAATCACTTATTCACCGTCTCAATTACCTCGGTATTATAATGTCGAAACCCTTAGTGATTCTTCAAGAAGTGTAATGAATCCAACTTCCCTAATTGTTGAAACATCTTGTAAATACACCACTAAATCCATCCCTTGTTCCTCAGGAAGAATTTTGAAACCTCCCCCTGTAGATATTTTTCAATCACCCTATCTATATGACGCTACGGTTAAAACAAGATCACCTCAAACTGACTTGGAAAAATATGATTCTCTGATATCTTCGACATTTGCTTCCCCGAAACCAGCTTATTCTTCTTTCAAAATGTTAAGTAAGGATTTTTCAAGAAGTTTCATTACTACAGCGGTAGATTCCTCTTATCAATCATCTCAGGGCTGTAACATTTCACCTAAAGAGAAGTTTCCACAGACTGAAAGAGAAAGTTTTGTCAATATTCCTGCATTTGAAACGTGGAGAAAGTCCTCTCCGTCTTCTGATGATTCCTCGACATTTTTTAATTTCTCGGGGGCTTCACTCCTCTCACAATCGCAGAGTCCTAATAGTTCAAAAGAAGAAATATCTCCCAGAAAGAAATGGAACAAAAAATATTATGCTAAATATATTTC